CTACTAACTTCAGGGGGTGCCTCTGAATTCTAATATTCTGGGACTTGGTGAATAACAGTTTCCTGTTCACTTTGTCCACACCATTCATAATTTTATAGACCTCTATCCTATTCTCCCTCAGCCTTCTTTCCTAACTAAAGAGTCCTAGCCTTTATAGTCTCTCCTGGTACACCAACTGCTCCATAACCCTGATCATTTTTATTGCCCTTCTCTGTACACTTTCCTCATTCTACTACATCTTTTTTGAGATGTGGAGACTAGAACTGTAGTCAAAATGTGAGTGCACCATAGATACTGCATAATAGCACAATAATGTTCTCCACTTTGTTTTTAAGTTCCTTTATTAATGATGCCCATATAGTTCATACAGTTATCAGTAGAAAACTGATTTTATGACAGGCTATACTGTATCACACACAGAATTTTAAGGATGTAAATTACTTATTTTAAAAATCTTATTAGTTTTTGTTTTCTTAGTTTATTAAACTATTTACGTGTAACTTCTGAATTACATGGAAAGTCAATAATGTAGTACAAAAAAAATGTTTACAAGTCAACATAATTTATACCTAAAAAATTATGAACAAAATTACCACATATGCAATAAACCTGAACAACGTATTTTCATTAAATATCATCAAGAATACATATCCAGTTGTCTTAATATCAAACCAGCTAGTATACATCAGGCTTGTCCAACATACAGCCTGCGGACCACCACATGGTCCACCAAGCCATTTTTTGAGGCCCGAGGTCCCTCGCTCGGGACAGGCGGGTGGAGGAGGGGAGCTGCTCACCCCCGCGAGGCCGGGCTCACGTAACTCCCACATCACGTGAACTGGGTCCCACCACCGCCCTGAGGGCTGTGCAGCATGGGGCTGCCCCAGCCGTGCCTGATGGGACCAGCTGGGGACAGCACCCGCTTTTACTTGTCTCTGGCTCGGCCCCTTGCCCCTGGCATCCTGCCCACCTCCCGGGATCCGCTGGGCTCAGCGGCTGTGGGGCGGGAATGGGGTGCAGCGCCCAGCGCAGGCAGTCGGCAGGGCAGCCCTGGGGGGGCCTCGGCAGGTGGGGTCCTGGCATGACCTCCGAGGGGTGAGGTGGCAGGAGCCGGTGTCCACCAGGCCCAGTGCTCTGGGCTCTCAGCGCCGAGGCCGCCGGGGCTGTGTGTGTAGGCGGCCGAGCACCATGGTGAGCAGGGCCACGCGGATGGGCGGGCGGGGGGCTGCAGTGCAGTGGCTGCCTCGCTCTGGCCCCCCTCAGCCAGCGCCACCTCGTGGGGCTGCGCTGCTCAGGGGCAGCCTGGGGGCGGAGGAGGAATTGTTGCCCCCTGCAGCTGGGCCAGGTGCTGCTCTCCTGCCGTGGCGGCTGCCTGCGCCCTCCAGGGGGCCGTTTGCCTTCACCACAGGGAAGCACGGAGGAGCGGAGCGGCCCGTATTCCTCTGAGGCCTTCCCCCATCAGGAGCTGCCCTGGGCAGAACAGGCCTGAGACCCTGACAGGCTGGGAACCGGCTTCGCTCCTGCAGTTCTGCTGTCCTCCGTTGCACACGTTGGCTGGGCCCCAGCTGTGTCTGCCTGAGCACTGCCAAGGACTTTGGGCAGCGGTGCTGCTGGTGTGGGCAAGGCCTGGGGAAGCAGTGGCATAGGCGGTCCCTTGTCCTGCGTTAGAGCACTGGCTACATTGGTTTGGTCACATATTTTAACACGGCTGTCAAATATCTTCTGGGGCTGCCTTCAAATGATAGTCGTAGTAGGCAGAAGTGGGGCCCCAGCTGTTGAGATGGCTGGTCCAGGACATCATTTGCTGTAGTTGGTCACTAGCTGAGCACAGGTGGGGGTTTATGCCAGCTTTGCCTTATTTCAGGCTTGTCCAACACATGGTGGATTTTATTGCAGGGCGATAAAATATGAATATGGCTCACTGGCCCACTGGGTGATAAAAAGTGCATGATCCGGCCCCACATTCAAAAAGGTTAGACACCCCTGGTATACATCCTATTGGTAATGCATTGCTTAATATTATAAGCCCTCAGTTTCAAGGCCACCAGAGTTCCCAAATATCATTACATAGGCTAAGTACAGACAGGCAAAGTCCCGAAGACGAATTGATTCAATCTGGCAGGTTAGTCTAAAATGAGTAGATTGAACCAACAAGCAAGTGAACAGACATTCACTTTTGATTCTAGAAAAGCAGTTGCATGCCAGCAGTGACTCTGGCCAGAAACCAGGGGATGCTAGAGGACACCTCCCTGTTTGGCTGGAGCAGACAGCTTGGGCCAAAGCTAGCCCACCCACCCAGCGAGGAAGAGTTTGTGAGGGAGGTGCAAAGCATCATGGGATGCTGAGGGACTACGAATTAACTTGAATCTGGAGGGGATCTGGGACAGAAGTTTGATAAATCTATTTAATGTAAAATCAGTTAAGTCTGATGCTACATCTATCCAGGTTTATCTTAAACTGGTTTCAGCCATTTTGAGAACAGTTTATGTGCACTGAACTTCTGTTAAGTTACAAGGCGCAGATAGAAGAGCAGCTCCCCACTGTAACTCATGGCACTTCACAGGAAGTACCATGAGTTACAATGATCCCCCAGACCCAACAGCTATTTGCTGTTGAGTCCTAGGGGTTGGGAGATCGAGCTGTTTAGAGTGACTGTGAGTCTGCAGCTGCTCTCCCCTAACAACGCCCTCCTAGCCTGGGCATCAGAATGGGAGGGGGAAAAGGGAAAGAAGGGACCTTATTCTGGGGGTTGTCCAGCTAGCAGTGGAGGGTGGGGCAGGTGGTTTGAAGCTCCCCTCACCTACAATCAACCCACCCCACCCTCCAGCATTAGCTGAAGAAACCCCAGACCACAGTCCCTCTGCTCCGTTCTCCCCCTCCCATTCTTAAGACAGCCCTGGGAGCAAGGCTGAGCTGTCTCAGTTCAGCCCTGCTCTCAGTGCACACAGACATCAGTTACTGAGGGTGCTCTGTTTTGGAGTGTCTTCATCTGAATCCTCATGCAACGAGGGCTCAGACTGCTGTGGGATTGGGCCCTTTGAAGCACTCTTGCAGCTGTGTACTTGTGTTTGGTCACAACTGTAGAGCACTTTCAGGGGCCAGATTGGGTGAAAATTATCACTGCTGTCTGTGCCTACAGATTTAAACTGGTTTCCGATCACTTATATTGGTTTATGTGTAATTTATACCCCTAGCCATAATGTTCTGTGAGTAACAGGCTGTGGGCCTTACTTTGCATAGTGAGGGATACAAGAAAACTGAAAATTCTATTATCTTAATCTTCTGTGACCTTCCAGATCTTAGCAAAGCTAATACTGACTGGAACATCAGCTGTATATTTTCGATCTTAAGCAATGAAGCACTGTTCCTAGATAATGAGTCAGATCCCTGGGTGAAGTGCAACCACATTCCATGGACACATTTCCACAGCAAAATCTACTCAGTCAGACTTGTGTAAGTAGTCTTTCATCTTCACAAAACTGAGAATTATGATAACTGGTTTCTGAGTCTAGCATGCCAAAGATTTTGCTGCCTCATGCAGTTTCCCACAGCATAAAAATGAAATATATATTATAACTTTATAAGGCCTCTATTAATGCATTATAGTTACAACCATGATGAATATTTACATGATCTTAATTTTCACTTTTAGATATACACAGATCTGTATATACATGCTGACCACCCACAGTGGAATGAACATCATTTAAAAATATTATCTTAATTGCTATGAAGCAAGCCCACAGACACTGACTGGATTATCTTTCTACATTTCCATTTGAGCGGGGAGTGTTGCTTGTTTTATAGAGCAGAATGTGACAATAACGGAAACAATAGATCACATAATACAAGAGGAAAAAAACTAATACTTTAATTCATCTTTTCCAGTGAACACATTTTTCCTCCTATTGCATCATGTGACCTAATTTTTCTGTTAATGTCATATTTTCTCTTGTAAAAAGAAGACACTTCTAAAAACCTTCACTGAAATTGTATTTCCCTTTATTATATAAGCACATATTAGTTTTACAATTCTGGAACATTCATTTACTATGGTGTTTATGTTTTTAATGAGGATATTGACTTAAAAATAATAAGGTGCCCTTCACTAAAACAAGTATGACAGCTTTCTGTCAAGGCTCATGACAAAGAAAATAATAAGCAAATGTTATGGAACTGAAATGAAAAACTGATTACTTTTAGAGCACTTGCTTAAGTAAAAAAGAATTGCATTGCTTTAGACAACGATCACACAGCTAGTGAAAAATTCTAGTTCCCCACTTTCTTCTGCCATTTCCCATCATCAATTTCAGAACACTAAAAAAGGCTTTTAAAATATATTGCTGAATCTATTACATTAAGGCTTGATACCATCACTTACTCTCTTCCTCAACTCCCATGCAATTCAGCCTGCTACAAACAGTCCCACTGTAACCACCCCTCATTCCACCCACCCTCCCCCCTCCTTCACCCTTACCCCAACCCCCACCCCATGCTCCAAGGCTGCACAGCTTCCCATGCACTTTTCCTTGCTTGCTGACAAGTTTATTTTTTTCTTTTTGCAGTGAGCCCGCCGCTTGGAGATGATTAAGCCTGGGGATGCCATTAACCTACACTTAACAACACATGGATTAATGGTGTCTCCAGGCTTAATCAGGTTAATAAAGCTGCAGTTTCAAGCCATGTGGAAATCTGCATGGAGGGGCAGGACTGTCAGAATGCCTCAGATGATCAGAGGTGTGAGGGGACCCTGCCATGCTTAACCCACGAAAATGGCAGCTGAACCCAGGATCTGCCTGTGAAATCAGGCTACTTGCCTCCTCAAATTTGGTAGACCCTCAGCTATGAATGCCTGAAAACATCAGGTCATAATGCCTTTTCAGCTTAAACCATAGCAGAACAAATGCATGTGATTATATGTAGTATACGTGTTTTTCCCTCAAACTTCTCTAGCTGATTTTTTTAAATCTTCACTTAAATGCCAAAATTAAAATACATACCTTCCCTTGACATCGTTCATAAGCTGCTGCAAGTCAACCTCTTGCTTTCTCAGATTTCCAAATGAAGATTGACTTTCTACTAAGCCTTTTCCGCCAGCACCCAAATTGATCTTTCCAAATGAGGCTTCAAGATTTCCTCTGACACAATCTTCAAACTTCCCCTCATATTTCACAAAGTCAGACTCCACAATTACTTGAAAAAAATAAACAAACACTATTAATATAGACTTGAAAACATCCGATCATAAAACAGCAACTAAAGGGCTAAATATAGTCACAAAAAAGTTTACAGGCCAGGATAGTTTGTTCCATCTTTTCCCCATATTTGATCTACTGGTTTTTCATTTCCCACTTTGTCATTTTTTAAAATGTACAGTGATTTAAGTTCTCAGTTCAAATCCTCAGAGACATTTTTCCTTCCCCACAAGGAATCATTATGGAGCAAAAATTGCCTGTATTCAGATTTTTCCATATCTTGGTTTTTCTCCTTTCTATCCTGATCCAAAGCCCACTGATACCAATGGATATCCCATTGATTTAAACAGATTTTGACCCCAGGGCCTGTATGACAAAAATGTAATACACTATGCACAAATTCAGAACAGAATACTGTTACCTACAAGGTTATGAGCTCAGATTGCTCTTAGGCCCATATTGCTGGTTGATGTTGAACAGTCAGCTGCCTAGTTACTGGCCTCATCCACACTATCACCTTTCCCAATATGCAGCTAACCATGGTAGAGCTTGAGAGAGGAACAAGTAGGGAAACACAAATACATAGAAGGAGCAGATGCTTTTTCCATGCTGAGCAATATAAAACATCTGGGCACCATCGACAGAAAGACTTCCACTGTTGCTACCACCAATGGAACTCTAATACATGAAAGCAATGACTAAATCTCTTGGTAGTTTCAGTTCAGTCCAAGGATCAAAACAGCTGGTAAAATGAACTCCCTCATGTACAACTGCAGCTGGACTTTGAGTCAGTTGATCAATATCGGCCTCTTTATGAACTTGCATTGTTGCTATTGTCAGAACTGTATCAATTTCCAGGGTTTGGGGGCACTCAAAAATACTACCATATCTTCTGAAGAGTGTCCAGATGTGTGAAGAGGTAAGTCAAAGGTTAAGAGATAAGCAGCCAAACTACACAAATAAGCACAGTCTGAGGCTTCCCTGCCTGCCCAATTCCTTCCCGCCCCCCTCATTACTACTGCCAGGCCCCTCTGCAAGGGGGTAAGTACCATAATCTATAAATTAGTTTTTGATATTGGGTGCCACTCAATTCACAAAAGTTATGGATGGGTGTCTCAAGTCCAATGAGGAGTGCCTCAAGTCCAAAAAAGTTGAGAACTACTGATCTATAAAGATGCAAATCTACTCTGTCTCCCAAACTGCCAATCACACAAACAAGTAATACATTCAATACATGCTTTGTAAAAGCTCAGACAGCCCTCAAAACTAGGGGTGTATAGCCTACAGCCCTCAAGCTGGATCTGGCCTGTGGAACCTTTAGAGCTGTGGATTTGGCAGCATTCAGCTGCAGGGGGCCCTGCCTGCATCACACCACAGCCAGATGCTGTGAGCTTTGGTAGAGGAGCAGCTCTTTCTGTGCCATGTTGGGCTGCATGGACTCCAGTGGAGGGGGGCTCTCCACGTGCCATGCCATATCTCGGTGGCAGGGAGAACGGCAGTGGAGGCCATGTCCTAGTGCCCACCTATCTCCTACTTAAAACCAATCTGTTTGTCATTCCCCTAAAAGGTGAACAGTAGTCTAGAGCAAGAGCTATGGGATGCATGTTATAATATTTGTGGAGGGGCAAAGAGCAATAGCTATACAATTCACAGTGCATTCACCTAGAGTGCACTATGATTTCACAATATAATCACGCGCTGGAACTCCTGACAGCTGCTCTAAATGAGATCTTCAGAATGTCAAGCCATAAAAGATATGGCTTAATAACACTGCCATTTGGATCTCCAGTGTTCAATCGCATTGCTCCCCCTGGAGAAGATGCGTCACTTTTTAACTAACATTTCATTAGCACTATTTTTGCCAAATGACAAGGCAAGTGTAGAAAGCCATGTAATTTTTTAAAAAGGTTGAATATTTTAAACCAAAACGAGCCCTCAAATAACATGACAAAAGTAATAGAACAGATTGTAACTTGCATTCTTTTTATCTGCCATTATGTTTTATAAGTACAGTATTACCTGGTTTTATAGGTTTGTCTTCTGCAAGTACATCACTCAATGTGACCGTCAAGAAATGATAGTTTGGTTTCTGCCAGCACCAGAATTTCTTCCTCTTTGTTACTAGGCTCAGAAGCTGCAATTTGTCTGAATCATTCAAACGGGATACAGGGATCAAATCACCCCCGCAGTCAGTCTCTCGCACAAAATTCTTTGTTGCTTTTGCAAACATCTTGGGAAATCATCAAGTACCTGAAAGAACAAATTGAGTTTTAAAATAAAATAGGAAAGTATCATTAACATTTTCTGTTTTTTGGAGTTCACAGTTTTGGGGCATTAACCAAGGAATGATCAGTATAATAGCTCTATCTTCTTGTTCAAGGCTTTCTCTACCTAAATCAGTATTCTACTGCATTTACTCAAAGGCTTTTCTAAAAGGAAAATTTACATTATAAGGAAAATGCTGAAAATGACTGTAAATAGGATGGTATTAAATGCATAGTATTAAAGAAGTTTAAGAAAATATTTTTTAATTTCCTTCATATTTTGTAATTTCAGAATGGAACATGATTTTTTTCAATTGGCAGTTTTCCTTTAAATCCCCCAGTAGCCACTGAAGTATTCAGGTAATGTCTTATCTGCCCATTTCTTTTCTTTGAAGCAGCACATACACTTATTCTTCATTAATCACCTGTCCTGCTCCACACACATATTAGATTTGTTAATTATAGATACAGACCAAGATAATGGAGGAGAGACTTCAAAGTGAGAACAGATAATGAAGGGAGCTGAAGAGTGAATATTGACTGAAAAGAGAAGGAAAAGAAAAATAGCGAGGAGGAAGAAAATATTTTTATAGATAGAAACCTGGCTTTCTGTTCACTCTCCCTATACCACATTTCAGTTAAAACAGTGTTCACCGATTGATGCTCATGTATCTTCCCATGGAACTCGTGTGACTTACTGCCAATTCTCTATGTGAGCAAGGTTAGCAAAAGACATTTCTTAGTGTTACCCAAAATGAAAAGTGTTTTGTTTTAAAAGTGTTATAAAGGTAAAGTCATACAACATTTTATCTAAAAGGATATCAGCACTTCTATAAATTGTCATGAACTCTGAGCATAATCCAGTATGCAATGGGAATATTTTCTTTGACTTCACCAATTGTTAAATTGGTTTCTTAGCTCTAAATTCTGATTCCTGAACTTCCCCTTGCAATCCAGTGAGAAAGAAGAAAAAGTCTGCATACAGGCAAATATGAGGCACATTTTAACAGCCAAATTGTCCCGGCTTCCATTTATATCTGAAAAGTTGAGTTTCTCATAGAATTTGGCAAAGATGACACTGGAACTACCTTGATGATTGCTTTGTAGTGGGAAAAATCTCACTCTGCTTCTAAAAGTGCAATAATCACCAAGAAACAGTCTTTTCTCTCAGCACACAGACACTCTTCTCGAGTCTGCATTATCGTTTACCCATATGAACTCATTCCTGCAATGGATCTGTATGGGCAGACCCTTCCCTTTACAAGGAGGCCAGCTGTCTTCAAAGGTGCTGAGGAGGGCCCACAAGCCACGTGGACTTAATTTCTGAAACTGAATCTACCAGAGAACAAAGTTACATTGGTTTACAGCACCCTCACCTCTTAGAAATTTCAGTCACTAAAATTCATTCACTGATCTCAGAAGAGGAATCTGTAACATTTTTTCCATTAAGATTAGTCTTTGCTGCATGATGCTTTTGGTCTTGTTTTCTCAGTCTAAATTTTAATCGTGTTGTTGTTAAAAGGAAACACGAAACAGGTAATTGTCTCATTAAGCCTGGCTGTGAAGAAGCCACATAATACTATGCATCTTTCACATGGATTTCCATTCATACAGAATTGAACATCTTGATTCATAATAGTGCAACTGTGTGCTACTTGCATTTCCTAAAAACACACAGTATGTAAAGAGGAATACAGGAAGAGGGAGGAGAAAACAATCAAGGAAGTACTCTAAAACCATTCAAATCTGTATATTGTGTGCAACACTAGTGATCACTGATCATACACAATCTTACTGTGTATACAAGCAGGCCTCTAAGTGTTAAGAAAATATTCTCTTTCAATTTCCTTGCTTTGGAGGTTTAAGTTAAGAGTAGGGCATAGCTTGGCAGAGCTAGAGGGAGAACTGTTCCCCTTGTCAAAAGTGGAAGTAAAAGGGCATGGAGGAAGGATATTTTCCTTGCTTAATTAGCAACATAACTTAAACCTTTAAAGTGAGTTTCCATCAAGGATATGGGAAGCTGTATTTAAAAGTAATAGCACTAAAAGACAGGAAAAACAGTTCATCCATGGAAAACCTGTCATTATTTAGTTGAGTAACCACATCTCACTGAGCTTCATAACAGCTGTATAAGTTTGTGGCAGTTTCACAAATTTTCTTTTTTTTTCCTTTTCTGTTTTTAGAAATATTACCCTGGTCACCCATTCAAGAACACTAACTCAACAGGAACACCTCACATGGAGTTAAAATCTGCTCACTCTAACAATTCTTTTATTTTGGGGCAGTGAAACAGGAACTTTTATGCAGTCGCCCAATACAGTGCATGCAAAGCTGCATCATAAAATTATTTAAAAAACCCAAAAATAAAATTCTGTTTTGACTAAAGCAAAAGATTACCTGAAATGCAAGGCAGCACAACCAGGGAGCATAGAGGATGAGAACATTACTACCTATTAATTGCCTAAACATATTTTAAGTAAATGCTTTAAAGGACAGTTTTTGTGAGCCAAATGAGTCTGAACAGTAGCTTGGCAATCAGAAGAGCTGCTGGACATTAAATTTAGTCTGTAGCAGAGGAAACATATTTGAATTTTAATGGGGCTTGAGTTTATAATGAACTATACTGAGACACACGTAAAGAGAAGAAGTAATGACAAGTAATACAGATACTTTACTAGGCTTTTAGAGCAAAATTTGAAACCTATTTCATTGCTTTTCCAGATACCTTACATTTTTTAAATCCACATAAGCTAATGCCTGAATGTTAGCAGCTACACACATGCAATTAAATTTAAAAGAGCTACAATTTTATGTAGCCCTGAGTCTGGAAACACATGCATGTCATTTAGCACTGAAAAGAAAATTGTTTCAAATCCTGATGAACCAAAACTGTTCCCTCATCCAAGGGCTTATCTACCCACAAATGGCTCATTAGAGCAGTAACCCCCATCCAAGGTGGATGAAGGTTACAGCAATACACAGGAAGGAAATCAAGCAGCACTGGTAGGAAGTATATATATATATAATTATTTTGATTTAAAAAAATAAATCACCGGCCTAACGGAGAGTCACACAGATACAAAACCTGTGCATGGGTCAGGCTGTAAGACATGAATGTCTACACACAGGGGCAGATCCACAGGGTGTGCAGTAGCATGACTGCACTCCCCTTTCAGAATAAAAAAGCCCCCAGGGTGATATCTAAAGTTCTCAAAGCATGTAAGAATCCCCCTCCTTCTCTTCTGTGCTCAGAGGCAGGTCACCTCCACTCCTCTCCTCCTCCCGTTCCAACCCCACCTTTTCCCACTGTCCCAGGGACCATAGAAACTGCAAAGCTGTTCCTACCTACTCCAGCCACATTATGTAGGAACAAGCTCAGCTAAGAACAGCAACAGCAGCAGAGGCAAGGGGCAGAGTGGTCCCCCCTTCCCATGCCTGCTTGGGGGGCGGCGGGATGGAATGCTGTCCTTGTCCCAGCTGATCCCAGCCCCCGGGGGGGGGGCGGGGAGAGTGTGCAGAAGGGGCTTTGAAGCTTCCCTGCCTAGAGGAAAGCAGTAGCAGCAGGTGGGAGATGGGGAAAGGGGAGGGAAGGGAATGTGCTTCTGAGCAGGAAGCAGGGGGATGGAGGGACACGACTCTTACCTCCTTTCGTGACTTAAAAAAATTCTCCCTAGGCTACAGCATTATGGTCTGCCCACACCTGGGGCAGCAGGGGGCTGGGAGCAGAGTGTAGCCACCCCTGCCACATGGATGGTTGATTTGCCCCAGGCACACACAAGCATCCAGTGGCCTAAGCCTTGCAGGTGACTGCCATTAGCTTGAAGCAACCAGTGTGGTTTTAGCTACAGAGATACAAACCAGCCGAAGGCGATGGAAGAGCAGCCGCAGGCAAAGTCACAGGGAGGCAACTTGAGCCGCTCTTCAAGCTCCTGCTTCTAATCAAACCCTCTTGAGCACCTTATGACTGAGAGAAACGGACAGGTCTAGGTCAGGGGTGGGCAATTATTTTGGGCAGAGGGCCGCTTACTGAGTTTTGGCAAGCCATCAAAGGCCACATGACAGGCAGCCCAGGGCAGATTAATATTAATTTTCTACATGTTTTTAGGGGCCCTGTGGGCTGGACAGAATGGTCTGGCAGGCCACATCCAGCCTGCATTTTGCCCACCCCCAGTCAAGGACAAGCCACAGGACAGCTCCTTCCAGACCGCCCCTCTCCTCCCCGACCCACCAAAGCCTACGCCGGCACGCCACGACCACGGCACAGGGGAAAGGCAGGCTGGAAATGGCCCGCGTGGAGGTGTTGGCGTTGGGGGCTGGATGCCTGCACGCGGGCGAGGGCGATGCCCACGGCTACGGGGGTCGGGGAGGGAGGCCAGGCCCACGTGCGTGTCACCTGCATGTCACGAATGTCGCGCACACGCCACGTGCCTGACACGAGTGGACTTGGGGTGACAGGCCACGGCGAGTGGGCGCGCTCCCTGGGCAGGGCAGGGCAGGGCCCGGCC